CACAGCCTCCTTGCTTTGTGGTTTGAGTAGTATGAGACACAGCACAGGTGAGCTAAGAAATAAGCTTGAAGGACCCTTGCTGTTTAGGAAAACTGGATCACAAGAAGAAGAATGTTTCTTCCTGAAATCTTTGGGTTTCCTCCTGATGTTGTTACATGGTTTGTTTCATAGCCTGGCCAAGTTTTTGTGTGGATGGAGGGTTGAGGTGTGAGGGGATTGGAGTCCTCTAATTCTTATTCTGCTTTTGTAGTGTGATATTCTGAGTTCATTGTTTCTCACTTCTCATAATTTTTTAGTGCTTGCTATAATCTTAGAGAATGCCAGAAACACTATAAACTCCTCCTTATTGACAGAGTATGAAAATTTATCTGAATTTTTATTAGCTCAGAAAAACATTTCAGAGATGGAAGTAAGCACATATTGATAAATGTATGTACGCAGGATATTATGTTTTCGGCAGTTATATGTTTTTCCTTTGAATCCTTCAATTTTCTTTCATCAGAAATGTTTTCATTATATAATGCTGATAAAAATTTAACACAAAATTCATTTTCCATTTTTGTAACTCATTTTTTTAATGTAGAAATTTTGGTTCTTGTTTGAATCTTTGTGGTTTGATGTTTCATCTCTGGATTAATCACAATACTTTCTGTCCTATTACTAAAATACTCTCTCTTGCATGCACAAGGAACTTCTATTACGCTTTTTTTTTTTTTGCATATCTTTTTTAATTCCTTGCAATTTGTCCTACATATCTCCTCACCCTTTCCTTCTTTAAAAAAAAAAAAAAAACTTGCTGTTGACATGATTCCGACTCACAGTGACCTTATGGACAAAGTAGAACTGCCCCGTAGGGTTTCCAAGGAGCGGCTGGTGGATTTGAACTGCTGACCTTTTGGTAGCAGCCGAGCTCTCATGTCCCTTCCTTCTTTGTTAAAAAAATAAAACAAAACAAAACCCAAATGTAACCTCACATAGTTGCTTCAGATGATGAGAACCTAGGTTTTTTTTGATAATATTTTATTGTGTTTTTGGTGAATGTTTATATAGTAATTTAGGTTCCCATTCAACAATTTCTACACAAGTTGTTTAGTGATATTGGTTACATTCTTCACAATGCATGATTCTTGTTATTTTTGTTCTCCTTGTTCCATTTCCATTAATCTAGTTACCCTGCCCCCTTACATTCTCATCTTTGTTATAAAGTAATTGTTGAACATTAGATCTCATATAGGTGATTTTTTTTAAAGGAGCATAGTACTTACAGGTGATATTCAATATTTTTTGAGCCAATTTGTTATTTAGATACAAGGTGACTTAAGAGCTTAGTTTCCATTCAAGGTTTAAAGAGTATCTTAGGGCAATAGTCTCAGGGAGTCCTCCAGTCTCAACCAGTCCAGGAGGTCTGGTTTTTTTTTGTTTTTTTGTTTTTTTTTGGGAATTTGAGGTTCTGTTCCACATTTTTCTCCGATAACCTAGTTATTAATTTATACTTCTGACTTATCCCAGAAAGGAATTAAGATGACATCCACTACCTGTTTGTCAGTTTGTCATACTATGGTGGCTTGGATGTTGCTATGATGCTGGAAGGTACACCACCAGTACTTCATATATCAACAGGGTCACCCATAGTGGACAGGTTTCAGCAGAGCTTCTAGACTAAGACAGACTAGGAAGAAAGGCCTGATGATCTGCTTCCTGAAAAATCAGCCGTTGAAAACCCTGTGGAGCACAATTGTACTCTGACACACATGGGGTCGCCATGACTCAGAGCCAACTTGGCAGCAACTAACAACATCATAATGCATAAGCTATACTAAGATAAAATCAATTAATAAGAAAAGTTAGTAGAAGGAAACTAATGGTGGAAAATTAAGATGGGGCCAAGAGTGAGGTCAGTACCCAAATACTTGCCAAATATAGCCACGATTTGGCTATACCCCAGCTTTATGTTCACCAGCTTCAAGTTCCCTCCTTAGTGCCTGTGGACTCCAACCTTCTTGCCTTTAGCTTCTATCTTGCCTTCCTTTTCCTTCCTACATGCCCCTGTCCATTTTCCCTAATCCATAAATTTGTGCTTGTGCTTCACCTTACTCCTTTTTCCTCAATCCTTACACTAAAATGAGTGTCATCAAGTCAACTCCAACTTGTGGTAACTCCATGTGTGTCAGAGTAGAGCTGTGGTCCCCAGGGTTTTCAATGGTTGTTATTTTTGGAAGTAGATCGCCAGGTTTTCTTTCCGAGGCACGTCTCGGTAGAGTTGAGACTCCAACATTTCAGTTGGCAACAGGTTTGGTTTTTGGCTTTTTAGTGCCTGGTTAAAAATGAAAGTGGGGGTGAAAATACCTTCTGCACCACCCAGGGACTCTACTTATGCTAAAGAGATGCAGTATTCCAGAGAGGTCATCAGGCCATGAGTTTATATTGCCAGGGTTGGGTTAAGCTCCTCCCTTTTCTGGTGGCCAAGGACTGCTTATGAATAGGCTCCTGGGCTATCTTGGGCTTTCTGTTTACACTTCCTGCAGTGGCCCCATCTGCCAGCTGTTACTAATAATTCCTTACATTGTACAGGCCCATCATGAACCACCAGTTCTGCTGAAGGATCTTACAGTAGGAACTGGCTTTGCTGCCCTAGTTCTCAATTTCTGGGTTTTGATGAAGCTCATACACAATGTCGTGGCTTCAACAACTTTAATCCCTAATGAGGCTGAATCAATAAGGACAGTTCCTGGGAAAAGGTCCAGTGTATCTCTGTTGCTAGAGGATGATTTTGTTCCACTCTCCACCTCTTGCTCACCTGAAGAATACACAGCCCAGACCAGTTAGGGGTTGTAGAAATGAGTTGCTCTACCTGGCAGGGTTCTGAAGCTTCTGAGGAAAAATAACTTTCTAGATTTTTTTTTTTTCAGAAGAAAAAACAGAAACAAAATAAAAATAAAACAAATTATATCTTACAAAAAAGTTATAGGCAGAAGCCCAAATACAAGTCTGTATTTTTACCCCCACTTTCATTTTTAACCGGGTGCTAAAAAGCCAAAAACCAAACCCGTTGCCATCGAGTAGATTCCGACTCATAGTGACCCTATAGGACATAGTAGAACTGCCCCATGGGGTTTCCAAGGAGTGGCTGGTGGATTCGAACTGCTGACCTTTTGGTCAGCAGCCAAGTTCTTAACCACTGTGCCACTAAGGTTCCAGTCAGGCACTAGAGGATGCTTAAATGCATAATGATCATTTCTTAAACCTTTTATACTATTCCCCATAAAGGACTTGGAAGCAGGTGCCCTGAGCCCAGATCTTAGACCTGTCTCATCTGTGTAATCCGGGAGAAGACACACAGACTCTTACTCTTATCACCTCATCTGTAAGGCAGAATGAGTAACATCTACCTCACAAAGTGACTGTGGGAAGTAAATGGGTTAATGTATTGAAAGAGTTACATAAACTGTTAAGTGCTGTGCAGACATTAGGTATTGTCAGTAAAGGGTTAACATAACAGGCCTGGACTGCTCAAGAACTGGCCTTCACCCAGCTCCAGGGAGAAGACCTCTGAGCCCTTGGAGTATCCTGCTTGATCAGTGTCTTTGTATGTCTGAGGCCTTGGGCCACGTCAGATAGTTTATGCTTAAAATGTGACCTAGGGTGAAAGCCGGCGTTTGTATGGCTGAAGCTTTGGGTCACACTGCATCAATCTGACCTCCTCAGGGTGGAACGAGAGGGTCACTGAGGTCAGTCACAAGGGCGCCGAGGTCAGTTACAAGAGCACCACATACCCACATGACTGACCTCTAATAAAAACCCTGGACACCAAGGCTCAGGGGAGGTTCCCTGATTGGCCATACTTTGTACACATTGTCACACAGAGCTGCTGAGAGAATTAAGCCCTGTCCGTGCAACTGCTCCGGCACCAGTAATCTTCCAGCACGAGATTTCTAGTTTAAACTTGCCTCCTGTAGATCTCTTTCACAATCAAGCCTTTGAATTGTTTTTTTCTTGGCTGTAATCTTTTTGTTTGTTTTTTATTGTACTTTAGACGAATGTTTACAGAACAAACTAGTTTCTCATTTAACAGTTAGTACACATATTGTTTTAAGACATTGGTTAACAACCCCACAACATGTCAACACTCTCCCTTCTCCACCTTGAGTTCCCTATTACCAGCTTTCCTGTCCCCTGCTGCCTTCTAGTCTTTGTCGTTGGGCTGGTGTGCCCCTTTAGTCTCGTTTTGTTTTATGGGCCTGTCTAATCTTTGACTGAAGGGTGAACCTCAGGAGTGACTTCGTAACTGAGCTAAAAGGGTGTCTGGGGGCCATACTCTGGGGTTTCCCCAGTCTCTGTCAGGCCAGTAAGTCTGGTCTTTCTTTGTGAGTTAGAATTTTGTTCTACATTTTTCTCCAGCTCTGTCCAGAACCCTCTATTGTGATCCCTGTCAGAGCAGTCATTGGAGGTAGCCAGGCACCATCTAGTTGTACTGGACTCAGCCTGGTCTAGGCTGTGGTAGACGTGGTCCATTAGTCCTTTGGACTAATCTTTCCCTTGTATCTTTAGTTTTCTTCATTCTCACTTGTTCCGGAAGGGGTGAGACCAGTGGAGTATCTTAGAAGGCCTTTGAATTTTGACAAGAAAATCAGTACGTTATTTTTCTACTTAACAATTCTGAGATACAATTATGTCTAATTTGTTATAATCATGTTAAACATCAAATCAACCTAATGCTTTAGAAGAGCAGTTTGTTCTTAAGTATTTTTTTAAACTACTTTAAAAGTCCTCATGGTAACATTAATGTTTTATTGCCTCCACATTGGTCTTGGAGATTATTTCCCATTGCACAGAGGAAACTCAAACATTAGACCTTTAGGTAACCTCTGTCTGAATTTTAGGATTAAAATAGATGTAGACAGCATAAAAATAACATGAATATCCCAGGACTTTCTTTTGTCAAATGTTATTTTATCTGGATCATTAAAATAAATGTTTATTTTTTTTTTTTTGAAAAAAAGGAAGCCACCAATCTGCCGGACGTGGTAGACCCCGCCTGGGGGAGGACAACTGGAAGCTTGGGCCTGATGTCTCCGAGACGCCACCCTATGCACTTGATTTTAAACTAGATCCTTTCACTGTAACAAACTGCGCCTGTAAGTATAACAGCTTCTCTGAGTTCTGTGAGTCCTTCTAGCAAATCTTTGAGCCTGAGGGTGGTCTTGGGGATCCCTGACACAGGTGTTTAGTAAATCAGTTAAAGTCACACTGAAGACATTAGAACAATTTATCAGATATTTCATAAATAGAAAAACTAGGCAAATGATTGGTTAGCACTTTGAAGGAAAAAGGAAGAGTGGATTAGATTAGTCGGGAGTGGAGTTTTGTCATTCCCAATTGCTCTTGCTCCCCTTGCAGTGGAAAATATATACATGCAGATACATTTACATGTTATACATAGATACATCGGTAAGTATTTCACTTTTCGTAGTCAACATCAATAATAATACTTCATTTTTTAAACTAAGAAATTTGAATAATCTAAAGGAGGGATTTAGCTAGAAAAGTGAAAAGCAATTCTGTAAAAGTACAAATAAATATATCAAAATATTACACCTATATATTTATATGTATTTATTTTTCATTTGGGAGGGGAATAACCTGTTACCTTCTGTGTGTTTTAATTTTTATTATTCAGTATTGACTTCCTATCTGCTGTTTAATCTCTTAATTCTTATTTTTTGTGTTTCTCCTTGTGGTCAAGTGTGCTTTTCAGACCACCTTAGTTTAGCTGAGAACAGTATACTTGCACAGCATTTGAGCAGGTGCCACATCAAAGGTGGACAGAAGAGTTTATTTCCTGGCCCTGCTCACAACTCACCACCCTGACAGCCTTCCCCATGTGGTCCCAACAGCTCACACCCACAATGATCTCACCTCACTTTGAACCTAGGCATATTTAGTATCTGTAACTCTCTTCTGTCTCTCACATAACACCCTGGAATATTATTTACCCCTTTGTATTTCCAGGTTCTAGTTCCCTCATGCCAGCTAATAATAATAGCTAACACTAGTAGGGGGTTTACTGTGTGACAGGAAGTTTTCTAAAATTACATGGAATAACCTATTTAATATTTGAAATAACCGTATGAGTGAGGTACTGTGCCCAAGACAACAGAGCTTGCAAATATTGAGCCAAAGTAATCCGGCACCAAGGTTGCTCTCAAAACCACTGAGTTTTGAAAGCTCTAAAGGAATCAAACTCTTGCCTCACAGCCCCTAGCCATATTTTGCATCCAATCATTCAATAAATATTCTGTAAATGTCTCGTAGTTGTTCTCTGAGAAAAAATGTTCTATTGTTATGGAAACAATTTTTTACAAAGGCTACAGAATTGATACTCTACTAATACTGTTTTTGTGTTTCCTCCTTTTTTTTTTCACAGTATATTTTAAATTAGATTAAGCTGACTTTTACTGAGTTGAGAATCAAGGAATATTGATGTTATTGAGGCTTTTCTGGCACTGATTTTTTTTTTTCTCTCCTATCACCTCCTTCTTTTTTGTTTATTTCTTTATTGTACTTTAGATAAAGGTTTACAGAACAAACTAGCTTCTCATTAAACGATTAGTACACAGATTGTTTTATGACATTGGTTAACAACCCCATGACATGTTAGTACTCTTCCTTCTCGACCTTGGGCTCCCCGTTACAAGCTTTCCTGTTCCGTCCTGCCTTCTAGTCTTTGTCCCTGGGCTGTTGTGCCCCACTAGTCTCATTTTGTTTTATTGGCCTGTCTAATCTTTGGCTGAAGGGTGAGCCTCAGGAGTTACTTCATTACTGAATTAAAAGAGTGTTTGGGGGCCATACGCTTGGGGTTTCTCCAGTCTCTGTCAGGCCAGTAAGTCTGGTCTTTTTTTGTGAGTCAGAATTTTGTTCTACTTTTTTCTCCAGTTCTGTCTGGGACCCTCTGTTGTGATCCCTTTCAGAGCAGTCAGTGGTGGTAGCCAGGTACCGTCTAGTTATACCGGAATTAGTCTGCTGGAGGCTGTGGTAGTTGTGGTCCATTAGTCCTTTGGACTAATCTTTCTGTTGTATCTTTAGTTTTCTTCATTCTCCCTTGCTCTGGAAGGGGTGAGACCAGTGGAGTATCTTAGATGGCTGCTCACAGGCTTTTAAGACCTCAGACGCTGCTCACCAAAGCAGAATGTAGAACATTTTCTTTATAAACTATATTATGCTAATTGAGCTAGAGGTTCCCTGAGACCATGGTTCCCTGCAGCTCTCAGCCCAGCAATTCGGTCCCTCAAGGATTTCGGATGTGTCTATGGAACTTCCATGACCTTGCCTTGTACAAGTTGTGCTAGATTTCACAGTATTGTGTACTGTCTTATCCTTCTCTGGCACTGATTTTTGTTGAAGTGTCAACTTGTGGTTTGGTGACATAATTATAGATTCACGGATAGAAACTGCCTAGTATGCAAGAAACCACTTCCTGCATCTGTTTATTAATTTATCTGCAGTGCTTTAGCTAAACCCTCCTCTGCTTTTAAGGTATAATTGTAATATCTCACTAAACCAAACCCGTTGCCGTTGAGTCAATTCCAACTCATGATGATCCTATAGGACAGAGTAGAACTGCCACATAGGGTTTCCAAGGAGCAGCTGGTGGATTCAAACTGCTGACTTTTTGGTTAGCAGCTGAGCTCTTAACCACTACGCCACCGGGGCTGCAACTTCTTTAGAACATGGACTTGGTAGCCAGATTGCGAGGTTAGAATCCTGTGTGATCTTGAGCAAGGTACTCAATCTCTCTGGGCCACAGTTTCCTCCTCTGTGATAATATGTACCTCAATACCAAAGCAAACTTGTTGCTGTGGTGCACAGTGGTTAAGAGCTCAGGCTGCTAACCAAAAGGTTGGCAGTTCAAATCCACCAGCTGCTCCTTGGAAAGCCTATAGGGCAGTTCTATTCTGCCCTACAGGGTTGCTATGAGTCAGAATTGACTCGATGGCAATGGGTTTCCATATAGGGGAGAAGAAATCATATGTAAAGCAGTTAAAATATAATAAGCACTTTAAAAGTGTTTACTTATTATTAAAACCCCGCAATACCAGCCTTCTGCAACCAGAAGCTTAAACTCAGTTCAGTGGAGAGTCTATTCTCATAGGAACATCTGATCTTAAATTTGAAAGGGAGTCCAACTGTATGCTACTTACACTTCAGCAGCTAACTGAAAGTTTGGAGGGTCTAGTCCACTCAGAGGCAGCTTGGAAAAAAGGCCTGGTGATCTACTTCTGAGAAATCAGCCACTGAAAACTCTATGGAGCACAGTTCTGTTCTGCCACACATGAGGTTGACATGAGCTGGAATCCACTGGACAGCACCTGGTTGGTTACTGGTATGATATACCTAAAGGCGAAAGACCTGTTTCTGCTTGAACATTTCCAATGACAGGGCGCTTGCTATCTCTCCCATTTAAAAAAAAAAAAAAAAAAAACTCTCAAGACATTTTATTCCAGGACCCAACAGTTTAATTATGAATAAATGTATATATTGTATTGAATAAAAATCTGCCCTTCCACCCACTGGTTCTGTGTTGGAACAGCAAAGCAGTGATGTTCCAAGTGTTTGTCTTTAATTTTGCTGATCCTGTCTTCCATAGTTTCAAACTTCTTTCTCAGCCCTTTTGTGACACCGTCCATTGCTGAAATCTTGTTGCTTATCTTTTGGATTTCTAACTGTTGTTTTTGTATGCTTTCTAGCTGTGAATTTATTTTGACATCTTGTTCCTGTATTATTTTCCTGAATTCTTCCATTTTTTTTGTCTGTATTTTCCATGAATTTGTCTGCCTTTTCCATGAATTTGTCTATTTTTTCCTCATTTCTGTCTGCTTTTTTCTTCAACTCTTGGATATCTCTGAATATTAGAGATTTGAATTCCCTATCAGGTAGTTCTAGTGCCTTTTCTTCTGCTGGAAAGTCATCTCTGGTATTTTATTTTGGACAGCTGCTGGAACCATCCTGTCCTGTTGTTTTATATGTTTTGATATTGCCTGCTGTCTTTGGGACATTCAGTAGTTATTTTCTTCATTTATTGATTGTAGATTTGTTTGTTTCATCCTGCTTTTTTATTTTATTTGGTTATGTATGAGTAGGTGGGCTGTGCATTCTTTGTTGTTTGCTCATCTGTGGGCATGATACTTTTCACCTCTTTGTCCAATGGGTAGGGCCAGTCTCTCAGCTATGGTGCAGCAGGGCGGGTCGAGCTGAAGGGGAGGGGCTGGGATGTGTTGTTTGTGGCATGCATGTACTAGGGTGGACAGGGCAGGCTGGGAATCAGTGCAGGACAGGTTCCGGTAGGCTATGCCTCTGCTGCTCGGGGTTGTGATGTTCAGTGCATGGTGCAGGTAAGCAAGAAGGAGGGGGAGATTGTGAAGTGTGGAGCTAAGATGGGTATGGGAAAGAGGAGAGAGAGGAGAAACAGGAGCCAAAAACAAAAACAAAACAACAACAACAACAAAAAAGAGTGCTAAGGGAGCTTGCAATTGGAGTGGAGAGATGAGAAACTGAGAAATGGAGAAAAACAAAAAGAAAAAAAAATAGATAAAAATTAGAAAAAAAAGAAAAGAAAAGCCTCCAGGGACTTCACCAATGTGACTGCAAAGACCAGGGAAGTGGCTCCCAGGCCTCGAAGTATAGCGTGGCTAGAAGGGGTAGAGATTTCACACAGTGCCAGGTATTCAGGAGACAGGAAAAGAAGGTAAGTACAGAGAGGAGAAACTGAGAAATGAAGAAGACAAAAAGGAAAAAAGAGGAAAAAAAAAGAAAAATGAAATGTCCCAAGGATCCCACTGTCACAGCTGTGCAGATCGAGTATGTGGCTCCCAAGCTGTACAGTACAGCCCAGCTAGAAGGGGCTCCCAAGCCAAGAAAAGAAAAAGAAACAAACAAAACAAAAACAAAGAAAAGCCCTGGGGATCCCACCAATGTGGTGGCGCAGGCTGAGGAAGCAGTTCTCCAGTCAAGTGGCGCTTCACAGCCTTTCAAGAAGAAGCAAATATGGCACATGGAGCCAGGTGTTTGAGAGAAAGGAGGGGGAGGTGGTGAGAGGTATGGAAGAAACCAAAAGAAGTGGAAAAAATCAGCACCAGCAACAGACAAATGGCACTCAGGGAGCCAGCTGGTGTGGGCGGGGTGAATCCAAGTGACACAAGGCCGGAGCCAGACTGTGGCTGGCGGGAAGCAGAGGAGGCCGAGTAGGGGGGAAGAAGGGTGGGAGGTTGGAAAGAGTATATCACTGGTTACTGGTTGTTCTGTCTCCTGCTGGGAGCTCCGTGAAGCTGCTTTCCTGTATTCCCTGTCCACTGATCTTGGATGTCAGTGGGGTGAATCCAAGTTACAGGGACCCTGCACTTCCTGGCCGGCTGAGCTACTGCAGTCAGCTAGTAATCGGAGAAGTTAGAGCAGTGGGGAGAAGGATGGGGGGTGGGAAAGCGTATATCGCTGGTTACCAGGTGCTCTATCTCCTGCTGG